GGGACTTTTTAGGCTCCATGTGCCAGGGGAGCTGGAAAATTGCTGCTGGACCAAGGCCCCGCAAGGTGGCAATGTTAAACGGCCCTAAAAGCAGCCCATAGCCAGTTAACAGTATTTGGAATTTGAGATCCCCAATTAAACGTATTAAACACACCAAATTATATTTTTCCAATTCTCAGGATCTAAAGAGCCAAGGAAAAACAGAGTTCTATGGACCAGACTTAGAGGAAAACTGGAGCCAAGAGAAGGAAAGGTGTGGCTGCAAAAAAACACCACTCAGTCTCTGGACCAATCAGGACATGATAATATCCCATCAGTGGCCTCTCCTGCAGTATACCCTGGAGAATTCTCCAATTCTGTACCTGACCCTTTTTTCTTTTTTTGGTTCATCCCTTGCACCCATCCCCCACCCCCATAGTGAGATTGCACAATCCTATTACCCCTTCCTGAGCTGCTTTTCTCTGCAATGCAACACTTTCCTAAAATGTGTTAACAACAAAGGAACAAGCTTGGCTGTGACCTTCATTAGTTAATTAGATGCTCTGTTCCCTTTTAGCGGCTGTGTGAAACTGACCACACCTTAATCAGTTTCACACTGAAGGTGTGTTTTTTGTGAGGGCACGAAATTTGGCTGGAAATGTACACATTGTGAGAAAATGATTGTTTTTTATTACTGTTTACTACAGCCATATATGAGAATAGTCACTAATTGAGGAGTGGCTACTATGCACAGGATTACTCACACTCACACTACCAAATATATTTGTGAAACTACTTTGGTTCCAGGAGTGGTTTCATTAGATGTATCACAGTGTTTACTAAATTTAACTGAGAATGAATTTGAACTATTTTTGAATTCTTCATTTGAACATGGGAGATGGAATCAATGCTGATTTTAAAACATAAAATTAAGTACTTTTAAGAAATAAAAGTAATTATAGCACAGTCTAAGATGGGAATTTGGGAAAAACATAAGGTAATCAGGTAATTATCTCAGGAAAGAAAACAATATTAAATGCTATAAAATTGTGACAAGTAATAAATATAACATACTCCACAAGGCACATTTTGGCAGATCCAGGTGCAGAATAGTATTTGGCTAAGATATCAAAAGTATAATTCATAAAATGTATCTTTGTAATTTTGGAATTTGAGATTCTTCCCAATATATAAATAATTTCAAATATGATTGATTTGTACAATTAATATTTCCACAACACTTGAAAAATTAAGAGCATTCAATAATAATATTAACATTGATATAACTATAATGATGAGGATAATATCAATATTACATGCAGATAATAATAATAACAATAGAATCTTGGGATATGAAACCTGCACAGTTCACCAATTCTTTTAAATTCTTTACACAGAACCAACGGGGGATGTTTTTCTTTAAAAAAATATTTCTGCTAGAAATATAACCTCCATTTATGATTTAGCAAAAGCACATTTTGAAATAGAAGCAAACAAGCAAACTAGTAGCTCTTTCATATTTAATGGCATTAGACAGAATATATTAGACAGAAATATATATATATATATATATATATATATATATATA